TTTCATCTCTTGGCTCTGGAGAGACCTTGTTTAAATTTATTCTTTTTTTTTTTTTTTTTTTTTTGTCTTCTGAGGCGCTAGGCCTTGAACCCAGGGCCTTATCCATGCTAACCAAACTCTCTGCCATGGAGCTCCGTATGCCCAGCCTCAGAGAGATCTTCAGGGAAGACCCATTTCAGAGTGTCTCTGAGACTTACCATTCGGATGTGAGCCACCGAAGGCTGAACCACCCAAGAGACATAAAGCACATTTGTATTTTTTTTTTTTTTTGTGTGTGTGTTTTGTTTCCCTGCTTGTTAATGGTTTTGTCACAGGCGCGATTCAGGCAATCTTTTCCAGCCACGGAACTGCTGTTGGGTTCCCCCTGTAATATGAGTAATTTGACTCGAGGCATGCATGTCGTCTGGTTATGGTTAATTTCAGTCTGAGACTAGAGACGATGCTCTGCCCTAGTGCGGCACGGAGTTTCTTCTCATGAATTCTCAGACACTTGTTTCACAATGGGCAAAACGTCCAAGGGTGAGGACAACTCAGGCCAGATGACTGAAGAATAAACAGGCAGGCGAGACGATGGGGAACAGCACTCTTGAGAGAGAAGCAGCCATGGCTGGGCCAGTGTGTAGCGTGGTGACGGATGTAGGAAAGGGAGTATGACAGATCCTTGACTTCATCCAGCTGTTCTCCAGAGTTCAAGCTCTCCCTCTTCTTCTTTGACAAACAGTGTATCACTATACATCAGTGTTTATTCTTCAATGTGTGTGACAGCTGCAGGTTGGCTGTGAGAGACAATAATCACAGGGGCGAAGAGCTCAAAGTTAAAGCCTCTGGAGGCCAAGAGAATTTTCAGGCTCTACAAAGCAGGGACGATTCACTTTGGCTACGGTCCCTTGGCTCTTCTTTCTGTCTTCTGTCCCTGTCCAAAAACGTAACGTTAAATCTTTGTGTCTGTAGGGGGAATTTCGTTGGTTTCTTTTAGAGAAATCTTATTCACTTTGTTCTGAAAAAACAAAACAGTAGTTTGCAACCATCCGTAAAAGGATTTACTTATTCTTTTTAAAATGACCTGTAATCTTGTTACTTCTCAAATCCCTTTGTGGTCTGTACATGAAAAAAGAGTTACAAGAACAAACCAGTTGAGGAAATGTTTCTTGTTCCTGGGAAAACAAAATCACCCATTAGGCTATGAAATATATGTAGATGCACATGCGTTCATTTTAACAAGGCAACCTTTTGAGACGAGAAAGGAGAAAGATATCCTTTCTGTTTCAAATTTGCATGAGGCTCATAGTTATTCTTTTCAAACCTCTTCCTTTTCACTTGGATCTGGATGAGATACATGCACTTGACTCAGAGAGCCTGCAACACATGGGGACTTCTAGGTGGCTTGTCTGACTTTCCCAAGGCAAGTTCACCTGCTCCAAGTTCACCCTGGGACTCTTTCTTCTTTTGCTTCACCATCCAGTTATTGCTTCCTTTCAACACTTTAACTTTGCTTGGCCATGCTATGCATGATAACCTCAAGCTCTGCATACTTTGCTGTTCAAATTAATTGTCTTGTCTTATCCTATACACTGGAATGAATCATTTTGAGTTCAGGGGGAAGGTTTCTCCAGAATGAGGATTTTTTAATACTTTGGTTCCCCTATCCATTGAAAATTGGACAACTATATGGATTGTCTTCCTTTTTTCTAAATAAATGCATCAAATACACGGGAAACTATGAAGCGTCCTAAAGGTCTTTTAAGTCACCAAATGTCAACTTGTGAGGATGTGCCCAGGCTATGAAGACAGGTAAATGTGATTTTTGACACCCTGTCCGGCCACTTAACAACTCTGGGATTTTGGACAAAACATACTTAAAGTGATGTCAGGGCGCCCTTGAGCTCATATATTGAATGGAGACCATTACATATGCTTGATGGAGTCGTTACGGGGGTCTGATGTGCTATGTAAATCACAAGAAGCACAAACAGGGGTTATAGTGTGTGATCTTGCACCCAGACTTGAAGGCAGATTGGACGGCAGGGAACCTTCTTCAGCAGCAGCCCTACAGGACTGTGTGGTCCAGGACGAGCCATGCTTCCCCTGGAAATCACACCGTGCACACCTGGTGACCAGTCCCTGTCTTCATCTCCAGCCATAAGGATCCTAACATCAGCTTGCAACTTTCCTCCCTAATTAGAGACGTTACCCACACATTACATCATTTGTGTTTCTGTTGGGATCTTTTTTTGTGCAATAGCTACTAAAAGTCCCCGAGTACAGAGGTTGAATGTTGTTAACTGTTACTTATTTATTTATTTTTTTAGTATTATTTACAGTGTCTGTCCCTTAAAGAAGGGCTGTCCTGATTAGAGATTGCAACTCAGTTGCTACCAGCAACAGTTTCACCACAAGAGCCACAGCCTGAGGGGATGCTGTTCCCTCAGGCACCGACTCTCTGAAAGCTACTAAGGGAAACTTTATCTAGATCTCTATTCCTCTAAAGAACTCACTATTCAAAGGTTGAGGAGGAAATCTGCTCACTCAGAGAGGCTGAGTAGCGAGTAGCCAACCTTCACCCTTTGCTGGTGTGTTTCAAAAATTCAGTGTCCTCTTTTCAGCCCCCACTTAAAAAACCGTTGCTACACGTGGTTCCTCCTTACCACTTCCTGTCAGCTACTTGCTGACTCAGCCTCCTGCTCGAAGGTTAATTTGATTTAATCAAACACACGATTGAATTGTTAACAAAAGCAGTAGGAAAAAATGCAACACACTTAAAAATAATATTCTACAACAGTTGGATCCCCACCCCCCCCTTCTCTATGCAGTGTCGTCCTTCTGGCCTTGATTTTAACTGGGGGAAAAATGTTCTCTCAAAGCGTATTGAGTTTCCTGTGGTGGCGCTGTTAGCATGAGCACCCAGAGAGGAAGGAGAGAGAGGGATCATGGGAGGCTGTTTAACACTCACTCACTTGTCCTGTTTTAGAAATTAGGAACTTATATGTTTTTATGTATTTTGTTTTTCTAAAACTTCTAGCAACTCCTAAAGTCTTGTTATGGGTTGTATATATTTTCCTCTGTCGTTTTTGATCTTGTTTATGGATTCTGATTAGGTAATTTTAGTTTGTAGTTCAGAAAATTATATAGCTTTTTTTTTCTTTTCATTCTTTTTCTGGGGTACTGAGGATCAAATCTAGAGCTTGAAAAAGGTAGGAGAGTGTTCTATCACTGAGCTATCCCCCAAGGCCTTCTTTTATAAACATATATTCTATGTGGAGGCAGACTCTCACTAAATTATTCAGTCTGGCTTTGAACTATTCTGTCCCCAGGTGGGACTTGAACTTCCTCCTGAAGAGCTGCACCACTAGACCTGGACACATTTCCCTTTCATGTAGACCGATGAATCCTGGTTTCAATCCGGTGAATCCTGGTTTCAGTGGTTTTTGTATTGACAGTTCAAATTAGAAACGGTTCCTCTCCAAAGATACCATTCACTGGGAAAAAAATAAACAAAAACAACAGATTTTAAAAAGAAGAACAAACTGTGAAGACAATATGAACATCACTTAACATAAATTTTAAGGTTAGTTTTATTGTTTTTTAATTGTCTCTGTGTGTGGTTATATGAAAGAGAGAGCTAGTGTGTGTGTGTGTGTGTGTGTGTGTGTGTGTGAGAGAGAGAGAGAGAGAGAGAGAGAGAGAGAGAGAGAGAGAGAGAGAGAGAGAAAATGCACATGAGCATGAAGGAGCTTTCTAAGCCAGAGGTCTCTGATTCCCCTGGAGCTGGAGTTACAGGTGCTTGTGAGCCAAATATAGACCTCTGATCTTCTTCAGTTCATGCTTTTAATCACGAAGTCACCTCTGTTGTCCCCATGAAGAGTGTGGCAATGTCATATGAAGAGATTGCTCCTCTACAAATGAAAAGAAAATGCTAAAACAACATCAGACAATAATGGCAGAAACATATTGGAACTGGAACTTCATTAAAGGTAGCATTTTAAGCCAGCAACAAAGAGTAGCTGTTATCTAGTAAGTGAAATAGAAACAGTTGGATCATACCTAGAAAGCTGCTGGAAATCAGGTTGGATACAGTTTAAGGGATTTAAATGTTTTAAAGAAAAATCACTCCCATTATGTCTAGGAGGAGGAGGGAGGGGCCTTTCATGAATTTATTATTATTTTTTTTAACCAGGTATAATAAAGGTTTGGTGGTTTACTGTTTTCTCAGCTTGATTCCATTTGTAGGAAATGTCCAGATATTTAATATATATCTGCCAGAAAGAACATTAGTGCTTGCCTGGGTAGGAACAGAGTTCGTAAATACTATAAGAATCCTTTGAGGTGGTGAATGTACTCTACAACTGGAGTGAAGTGTGATTGTACTGCTCAGTAAAATGAATGAATTTTCCGATATGCAAATTGTACTTAAACCACAATGTTAAATCAAGAACGGTTGTACTGTTAGCTACCTCTGGGCAAAATAAGCCCAGGATTACTACCACAGCCAGGTATACAGTCTAAGCCAAGATTAATGGCAAACAAATGGTTTTTCACCAGGGATGGATTTGGTAAAGATCAGTGAATCAGCTGAATAAAGGGAAGAGGAAAGGGAGGTTCTCTCTGATGGTCTTTTGCCTTAAGTTTGCTCTCTTTCTGTCTGTCTCTCTGTTTCTGCCTCTGTCTTTTTTGTGCATGTGTGTATATGGTGTGTGTGTGTGTGTGTGTGTGTGTGTGTGTGTGTGTGTGTGTGAATGTGCACATTTATGTGTAGAGCCACAGGACAGTCTTGGGTGTTGTTTCTCAGGTGCCATCTGGGATCTCAAGACAAAACCTGTTACTGGCCTGGAGCTTGGCAAGTTGGCTAGGCTCTATTTTCATCCTCCCAGTGAAGGAGTTCTAAGTCCACACTGGTAGGGATTCACAACACGCCCCCACGGTTGGGCATGGTTGTGCATGCCTGGCAGATCTAGACACTTCCATCTAGCCATTTCTGGGTCAAAATGTCTGATGTGACCAGGACCCCATGGCTTTGCATGGTTGCATAAAACACGCAGCACAACCATGTGATCTACGCGCATGCGTGGAATAGCCACAAGGGCCTGTGTGCGCAGGCGCGGCCCAGCCTTTAAAAGCCAGTGCCATGTTTCCAACTCCATCTTTACTCACGTGTGTTTTCCGTAGGCCTGAGCACATCTCTCTCTCTCTCTCTCTCTCTCTCTCTCTCTCTCTCTCTCTCTCTCTTATCTTAAAAAACTCTTGGTAGTGGATTCTGTCGTGCTTCGTGACATTCCCTCGCAGGGTATGCACGCCGCTAAATAACTAACACACACTACCTTGCCTGGCTTTTTAAAGTGAGTGCTCAGGTTCTCATGCTCCCAAGGCAAACACCATCCTGACTGATGCATCCCCCCACTCTCTCCACTTGGTATCTCGCTCCCAGTTGGCCTTAACAGTCCTTATTAAAAACGGTGTCCAAGCTTGCACCCACAGAGGCTAACGACCTCACTGAATATTAACCAGCATCCTTTACTGACCTTAGCCCAGTTCTTGCCTCTCTGGCTGATGTGGCTTGGTATGGAAGGGCTTCAGCTAAAAGCACGACATTTTTCTTTTCGAATACAGAATCGTGCCAGAATACCACGATTAACTTCAAACACATGGCTTTCATGTTTGATGCCGCGGTTCCTGGGTGATGGCGATAACTCAGCAGCTGAAGGAACCGGCCGAGGCAGACCTGTGGGAACAGTCCGCTTATTACTTCAACTCTCCTTTTGGCTTTTGCATCCTGCAGCTGTGACCACCTTTGCAAAAATGGTAGCAATGAAGTCTACCAGGCACTGGGGCTTTGCTTATTTTTCCTTAAATTGAATTTATTGGGCTTGTCCACGATCTTGATACAGTCCTAATAACTGTGGGAATGTTACTATGAAATTCAACATGCAAGACAGGGATATTTCAAATTCGATGGGGATCTTCATATCCATCTCAACCATAGTTTTGAGAGAGAGAGAGAGAGAGAGAGAGAGAGAGAGAGAGAGAGAGAGAGAGAGAGAGAAGAAAGAAACAAGAAACCATACTTTTTTTTTTCTGTTTATGTCTCTCGGGAGCCTACTAATGTTTCATTTACTCAAGTATGTTACTAAATCTATGTTTCATTATGTTCCAGAAGGATACTATTGCTTTCCCTTAAAGTTGATCACAAAGGAAGATTGTCCCAGAGGGACAGCAGCATGGTGGGGGAGGGCAGGGAGGCGACACCCCCCACCCCCATCCCCTGTCACTGAGCTGGGCAGCCTTAGGGAGGGAGCCCCACTTGCCAGTGCCACGATCTCTGATCTCTGAGTCACTCCCCATGGCTGCTGGTGCTTGAGCTCAGGAAGGAGTTAAAGGCCAGTAATGTGCAGCGACTTCCGCATCAAGTGTGCAGAGTGGAGAACTTTATGCTTGCTTCTGTGTGGGAGGAAGGACTCTGTGGGTCTGGGTCGGGCTGCTTTCCTGGCCACCATGTTTTCTTGTGGTGGCCACTGAAGCCAGCTGTGGCTATTTGGCTCAAATAAGACATGAAGCTTGTGTTAAACTTTTCTGTGTTTCTAAGTCAGTGCTCATAAAAATCAGCAAATCTATTTCTTTTTTAATCCAATGACATCAAGAAAGGAGAAAGGAGATGTTCAGCAGAGATTTCTTAAAGTTTAGTGCCATTTTAACAAATACACTCCTGCCTTGCTCTCCTCTCTCCCTACCCCTTCTTTCCTGCTTCCTCCTCTACTCCCTCCCTCCCTCCCTCCTTCCCTTTCTCCTTTTCTAAAAAGCACTACCAAGAAAGAAAGAATGAATGAAAGAAAGAAAGAAAGAAAGGAAGAAAGAAAGAAAGAAAGAGAGAGAAGGACAGGTTAGAAGAAGAATGTGTACAGTTGCAGTCCAGATACCTAAGTGCGAATATATGAGTAAAATGAAGTTCAAAACTTGGCCTTGCCTTTTCCAGCAGTGAAAGCCAAAGAGAACAGGTCTCTTTGAGCACCAACAGAAGCATACTGGTTTCTTTAAAAAGTAAAGACACTGTTGGCATTTGTTTGAAAACTCCCAGCTCTGGCTTTCTCTGGCTCACAGCAACCAGGTAGTGTGTGGCATGTTAGGCAAAGGGTCAACAGAGAAAGTTATTCTGGTTGAGTAATTCTCATTCAGTCATATTCCAGGGATGACTGAGGACATGGTAGGCATGTGTAGTCCTGTAAGAACCCAGGTGGTTTTTTACATGTGAATGTTGCTTCTTGATGGTCTTGTTGAAGACCATCTATAGATGAGCACAAGATATATGGAGGTACAGGTTATCTGACTGATTTTCAAAATGTCCAGCATTAGTATCGATTAACTCGACAAGGCATTGGTGAGAGCCAGGCACCTGGCAGTCCAGAGACACGTCCTTCCTCTGTCACATAACATGGCGTGGTAGAGTAACAGGGTTCATTCCACTGCAATTTCTTACCAATTTGCTGAGGGATCCAAGTAATGAGACAGGAATGGGAGAATGTGCTGGAGATTTCTTAGATGGTAAGAACTGAAAACATGACTTCATCTTTGAGAAAATAGGGATTCAATTGGACCACTGGGTATCTTCAATGAATACTGATTGTCTGCTGGTGAGAAATGTAACTGTACAGCCCTGCTCAACATTTGTCTCAGAGGGCAATTTCTGTTTGCCATGTCAGATTCCAGGAGCTCCGTCTATATTCATTAAGCCTGCCTGGATGTTGGATAAATAATGCTTTCTTGTTCCACAAAAGTCTTATGCCCAAGCTTCCATTTATCTAGGAAACCCAGGCTGTTATGTACATATTTTTCTTGTCTCCTGGCACTAGTGTTTTACTGAGATCTGCATAATTGGTTCCCCGTCCACAATTATTGATGGCATCTCATGGAAGAAGTTTACTACCACAATCAACCAGAATTGCTTTCAGAAAGCGGTTGGCCTAAGACGGGGTCATGGAGTCAGTCTTGTAACCTGTGTCTGATTGTGAACCTGACAAGTAGAAGCTGTTCCCAAGCTTCTCAGCACACACCAGAGGTCCTCATCCTCGGCACCTGAGCACTGTGTTTTCCCCCAATCAACAAAGATCAAAGCAATACAACCTGTCCTGGTATGTGTGCGAAGAGTGAGAAGATGGGGGTAAGGAGGGTGTTGGAGACAGACAGATGGGTGGGGAGTTACAGAGAACCAGGAAAAACTAAGATGAAGAAAAGAGAGGTTCAGAATAAGAGGTCTTGTAGTCTTCTACAGTCACAGTACTTTCCTGTGAGCTGCCAGTTCACAAGTAATGGCACAGGTTTATCATTAATTATGAAGGCTCGGCCTTAGCTTAGGCTTGGCCTGCTAGCTCTTATAACTTAAATTAACCTGCTTTTCTTAATCTACATTTTTACCATGTGTCTTCTTACTTTTCCTTCATTCTTGTCCGACTCCCTCCATGTCTCATTGGCATCTCCTATGCACCTAGATTCTCCTCTTCTTCCTTTTTCCCTGCCCAGATGTCCCACCTATACCTCTTGCCTAGGTATTGACTGTTCACTTTTTTTTAATGACACCAACCACAGTAAATACATCTTCACACAGTGCACAAAGATCCCACAACAAGGTCTCTTTAACAAATTGCAGCTGTAAGCCAATCAGAGAAAGTTCTCGCGGTTGGCAGGATCTAACACGAAGACCCAATCTGGACAATGTGGAGAGAGTGAACGACTTTGGGACACTCAGTCTTAAATGGGATGTCTTCATCAACCCCTTCCCCTCAAGGGTCAGGGATCTATATGCAAGAGGAAATGGAAAGATCTTAAGAGCCAGAGGTGGTAAAGAACTCCAAGGGAACAGCATCTTCAAGACACAAGAAGACTGACACACAATGGAACTCGCAGAGACTGGCAGTACCCATAAGACCTGCGCAGGTTCAGTTCAGACAAAACCCCCACACTGAGGAGGAGTGGACACAAAGTCCACTCCTAATGAAGAAGCTATGTGCAGTTGGTACTTATCAGAAGGGAAAAATTAGTTTTCTCCAATGGGCTGACAGTGAGTGTGTCAACTCCAGGGCGAGTCCCATGCTCAGAAATCGTTGGCCAGTGAAAAATGGATTCAAGCGTGTGTGTGTGTGTGTGTGTGTGTGTGTGTGTGTGTGTGTGTGTGTGTGTACCTTTCTTGGCTTGCTTTGGTAATTTTTGTCTTTTTGGTATTTTTTGTTTTATTTATTTTCCAGAGAGAGAAAGAACATGAAATTGGGTGGTTAGGGAGGTGGGGGAAGATCTGGGAGGAGTTGGGAGAGGGGAAAGAAAATAATCAAAATATATTGTATGACTAAAATAAGAGTTTTTCAAAGAAACTGCAGCTGTTGCAATTTTATATTTTATAATCTATGGAATTCAGGCAATAGTTTTGAGATGCTAAAGTAATGTTTTGTTTTTCATTTTAATGTTTTGCCTTTTAAAAGTACCAAGCACTGGGGAGATCACTCAGGGGGTACTGGCACTTGACATGTGAGCCCTAGGAGGTGAATTGTCAGCACTCACTTCAAATGGTGGGGATGGCTGTATACGCCTGTAACTACAGCATCTGGGGGTGGAGACAGGTGGTATCTGGAGCTTGCTAGCTAGCTACAATGGGAGTTTCAGGGTCAGTGAGAGACCCTGTCTCAAGGCAACCAGGAAGAGATAGACAGAGGAAGACACTTGCTGACCTCCTCTGCCTTCCTGTGGCACACCTGCACACTCAGGTGTATACACCACACACACAATTGATTGGCACACCATAATAGTGAAAGTTTATGGAGTATAGTGTGAGACCATGTTTCACAGATACCTTTTGTCATGATCAAATCACAGTAACGAGTGTTATCTTTCACTTGAAACATTTATCCCTTCTTTGTGGTAAAACAATGTTTCTTTTCTAGACATTTTGGAATGTGATACAATATTATTAATTGTGAATACCTCATACTGGCCCATGTCCTCTATGTTTCCTAGTGTCTTCCTTATGGAAAGAAAATATATTATAGACACTTAAAGAACAACTGTATTTTGGAACTAATCCTGTATCTATGACAAGAAACCTGTCTCTGGACTTGGAACACATTTCTCACCCTGCCCGCAGGAATAACAGCCTTCTGCTATAAGTTGGCTCTAAGCAACTTAATGAGAAGAGGTGCCAAAGGGATTTAATTTGGTCTTTTTCTGTTTGGGAAATGGTCTGTGGACTCGTGGCATCAGCTTCCTTTGAGAAAGAGAGGGGCTTTCTCCATACCTGCTAGATCAGCATGGTACTTTAATAAGATCCCCAAAGATCTGAGTGCCAAGTGGAGGGCAGAGAGACACTGTTGCAAACAATCAGTCCTACAAGTGTGTGTGTGTGTGTGTGTGTGTGTGTGTGTGAGAGAGAGAGAGAGAGAGAGAGAGAGAGAGAGAGAGAGAGAGAGAGAGCACGTGCGTGCACGCGTGTGCATTAATGTATATGTGTATGCTTGTGTCCATGTATGTGTATGGGTGTATTTTTTGTTTGCTCAGGTAAAAGTGGTCATTTAGTTATGACAGAGACACAGTCATGCCCATCATTCCTAATTGTCTAAATCATGCAAGCAATTTCTATTTGTATAGAAGGTGGTCCTCCACCTTGGAATCCGTTTGAAATGCAAATTCTCAGGGCATACCTGTGATCTACTAAATCAGAACCTCTGGGACTGAGTTCCCAAAGTTTAATCTGAGCTCCACCAGCTTCTCATATAACTCTGATGATCTCTAAAGTGAGACCCAGTGAGGTTCTGTGTAGCAGCTCCAGTATGCAAACAATCTTGTCATCACAAAGCACCTCAGTGGAATTTGATAAGGCAGATGATAGATGATTTACAACTGGCATCATTCTCCTTCCACTCTTAATTAAAGTGACCGGGAAATTCAAAGGTTTAGTAATTATGTGTGTAATTATTCACATTGTGGGCGCGCATGCACATGAGAATGAGTGTGGAGGCCGGAGGTTGATGTTAGATGTCCTCTCAAGCATTCTCTACCTGTTTTGCTTCTGTTTTTGAGACAAGGTATCTCATGTAAATTATGATAGACTTAGCTAGGGTGGCTGGTCAGCAAACCATGGGGATCCTCTGACTCCGTCTCCCCAGTATCGGTGTTACAGGTGAACACTCCTGTGCCTGTCTTTTTTTTTTTTTTTTTTTTTTTTTTTTAAATGTGGATTCTGGGAGATAGAACTCAGTTCCTCATGCTTGTATGGCAAACATTTTACTAACTGATCATCTCCACTGCCAAGAGTTTAAAAAGAAAAACATTCTCCAAAGTTCTTGATTGATGTCTGGATTTTTGTCAGAGAGGAAGCCTTTGGTGGATGCCAAGGTTATAGCTACAAAATCTGTTTTACTCCAGATGACTAAAATTGACCTGCTCAAAGTTAATAGCCTACTCTAGGTTAACCTGGTGCTCTAACTTAGTGGCTTACGTGATTCTCAAAGGGTATTTCTAGAATGTTGCTGTGGTTCCAGATTCAGCAATATATTTTAATCCCTCGTCAGGTAATGAAGAGGATCTTGTAAGCAAATGTTGAGTGGCTGGGCAGGGACTCCAGGGTTCATGAAAAGGGCTGCAGACCTGCTCTGTAGTTCTGAAGCTGACAAGGTCATTTAAATTTAGTGAGCAAACAGTCATCAGTTTTACCCAGTGGGGCCTCCAAGATGTTCTAAAAGGGGAGAAGTACTTCCCATCTCAGACAGGTTGGCTAATCAGGTGCAGATTGGAATGAAGCATCTGGGCAGGCCTTCCTCCCCAGGGCAACCCTGCATTTGCTCAAAGCTGGCCACAGATGTTCAACATCAACTTCTTGGCTTATCTTGTTTTCAGTGGAAAACATCGCCCATGTGTTTTCTTCTATTAAAACCAGGAAAGTTATAATAAATGGAATAGATATTTTAACATGAAATAACATAAGCTTTGATACACTAGTTCCATTAACTTTCCAAATACTTTACTATTCTTTAAAAAAAAAAACAACAAAAAAGTCTTTAATATAACAAACCAGCCAGTTGTACATAAGGAGATGCATTTTTACTTTTCACAAGGTACTGCTGGATCTTGTCTTTACCTAAAATTGTAACATTTTATGCAGTGTGGACATGTTTTTTTTTTTTAAATTAATTTTTGTTTTAAAGAGATTGCATTGAAATGTTACTCAACTTTCTTGCTGACTTTGGCAGACACCTTCATACATTTTTGGTCTCAAGGTCATTGCCTCCTTTGCCTCATCCCATTCCTAGCTCTACCTCAGAGAAATGAATTCTCAAAGGTGGCTATATTTATGTCATATGTCTGAGTCTGCTTATAAGAAGGCATTCATAGACAGAGCGGTGTGATAGAGAAGAACACAGGATCTTGAGACTTTTTCAAAGCTCTGATAGAAGCCGCATCAGCAGTGGTGGAACATTTTAGGGGTCAGTACGCTCACATGCAGAGCTGTGCCATGGTTGACAAGGTTGTGATCTAAAGCTGTGTGTGCAGTAGTGGAGTAGCAGATGAAACTATATGAAGACATCTCAACACAACCCTGAGTACAGAGCTTTCAGAAGGACCCTGGTGGGATGGAGAGACTTTGAGACATGACCAGGAGAGAGAATGAACGTACAGCCCCACTTGTGATAGTTTGTTTAAGGAAGTAGTAGTGTTCATCCCACAAGAAAAGGATGGCTGGAGAGATGAGTGTGTTTGGCTAACTTCTGTGATGCTGGGAATCAGCTGCACTTTCTGTGGCACTTCCAGATGGTCATGGTTAGAGCCAGGGCTGGCAGTGGCAATAAACCAGATTTCAGTCCAACCCGTGGAAACAGGTTCCAGCTGAGTTTCCTCGATGGGCACTTTTTTGTTGTGACAGAAGAGTTGAAAAGAAGCTGCGTAAGAGAGGGAGGGCCTCTCTGAAACAGTGAGCAGATCTCAGACGAACTCTTAAAGGCTGAAGCAGCAAACACAGGGCCGAGACAACTGCACCAGGTCCTCTGCAAATGTACTATAGCTTTCCGCTCAGTACTTCTACAGACTCCCGAGTGTGTGAGCAAGGGAGTCTCTGATGCCTGTGCCTTCTCTTGGGACTATTTTATGTTTCGGTTGTCTTGTCCAATTTTGTTATGATGGTTTTTGTTTTACCTTATTGTATTTTATTTTGTTATATTTGGTTGTTATCTCTTAGGAGCCTGTTCTTTTCGAATGAGAGACAGAAAGGGAGTAGATCTGGATGGGAGGGGAGGTGGGGAGGAACTGGGAGGAGGAGAGGAAGGGGAAACTGTGTTCAGATTATGACGTATGAGAAAACATATGTTTAAGAAAAAGGGAAAAATGAAATTACCTTAAATTGTGAAGTTATAGTAGTACACATATGACAAATAAATTGATATTAATTATAATAAAATAATTAATTCTCCAACTTAACAGCTGAAAGAAAGAGAGGGGGCACTGCTCTGACTGCTGGTTTGTGGGCAGGATGCCCATCATGGTTGGGAAAGCATGGTGGTGGCACTGGGCTGGCAGAAGCATGAGGAAGCTTGCTCATGACTCAGTGCATTTGGACACTTGGAGCTCAGGCAGGAACCTTGTCTGGCTATCACCTATAGATTCCACCACCCCTCCAGCTCTATGTCTGTCAGCTAGACCCAGTGCTCCCAGGGTTTCACAACCTCTCCAAAGAGCACCCCAACTGAAGCATAGGTGTTTGAACATCTGAACCAGTCGGTGGTGGTGGGGGTGACGACGACTTCATACTCAAAGCCTTGCAAAGCCTCAAAGCCTGATAGAACACAAACGGATGGCTTGCTGAAAGCAGCCAATGGGCAGCAGGAGAGGTGGTCACTAAAACGTCCCTGTCATCCAGAATGGCGTGGTTTCATTTAGAAAAATTACAGAAGAAACAGTATGAGTTGACCCCAGAAAGATGGATATGACCCAGGTTATGTATTCTCAAGAGGGGTGACATCACCCCAAAGGATCTTAGCTACAATCATGTGTGGCCTTCCAAGAGACATAGTACATAAAGAGTTACACACATACACGTGTATAAATATATACATTTTGACATAAATATTTTCATGCTGGACAAGAGCATAGTCAGGTAAAATATGCTTGTGTGTTTCCTCTAAGAGGAACATTTTTGTTTTTATAAGGGTGTAATTATTTCCTGATACATCTGAAATGACCACAGACTTAGTGGTTTTCAACAATACACGTTACTATCTCATGGATCGGGAGGCTGTATGTAGTCTGTGGGGGAGTTATGATCCTTTTGTAGACTCTGCCAACTTCTAGAAGGTGCTGTCTTGAACCATGGCTCACCTCACTTGGATCTCTGTCTCTGTGGTACATGTCCTCTTTATCTGTCTTTTTAAAAGATCTGATGACATTTTTTTTCTCTTGAATAACCCAGGATAATTTTCCTCTCCTCAAAATCCTTAATTTCCTTGGCAATATCATTTTTCTATGCAAGGAAATATATTCATATTCTGGGTAATATAGTGTGGAGGATGCTTTAGTCAGTTGGAAAACAATGATTTATATGTCAGGTGGTCACAACTTAGGGAGCAAGAGAATAAGAAAAAAGAACCCATGGAATAGGACCTCAGGGCAGAGATGGCCACTGACGACATTCACGGAGTGTGCTGGGCCCAAGTGTGCACATCGTTACCTGGTAAGCTGTTGTTTCCCACCATGATCATTGCTACATTAGGACTTTCTGTTTTTTTAAGGCTAATTTCCAAGTATTCTTACATTTGGATAAGTTTCCTGTTATAATAAAATAGCACAAATCAGTAGTGGCTCGTGTGTGTGTGTGTGTGTGTGTGTGTGTGTGTGTGTGTGTGTGTGTGTGTGTGTGTAAGTTACAACAACATACAACAACAAAAACATATTCACTTCTGTTTCTGGAGGCCAGCAGTTCAAACCCAAGGTGCTGTGCTTCACCATAGGCTCTAGGGGGAAACTCCTGCTGTGGCTCCAAGCTCTCCTTGGCTTGTCAATGAGGTACTCAAAGTTCTGTTTCCTCCTTCTATAATGTCCATGTCTTTGCTTCTGTCACAAGGATACTTCTTACTTGGATATAAGACCAATCATGAAAATCAGGGTAACTGCACAACAATGCTTTTTGTCAAATAAGGCTCTAGGTGTCATTATGGGGACTGAGGGACACTGTTCAACTCACTGTACCTCAAGTCAGAACTGCTTCAGGGGAGAGAAATACTACCCCCGCACACACCGAATCACCAACACGTTGGCTTTCCCTGAAAGCACTCTCCTGTCCCTTGTTTCTAGACACTGCTGGGCAGTAGTGTGGACCCACATATCTCATTTACAGCCACCTTGGGGAGGATGAGTAGCCACAAATGCTGATGGAAAGCATCTTCTCGTTTCCATTTTCCCCTTATTTTACTGTCCTGCTTTGTTTTGTATGGCGATAAAGACTGTCAAACCCGGTGGTTTATGCTGTACACAGATTCATTTGGCTCATGGGTCTAGAGAAACGCAAGATTAACAGAGAACATCTAGAGACCTTTCTGTGTCATCTCATGGCGGAAGGTGGAAGAGCAAGGGAACACTCACAGGAGAGAGATGGCAAGGGAAGAGAGAGCCATGCCGTTCCTACTCCTGTGATGATGGCATCACTCTCCTCGCGGGGTGGAATCCTCATGACCCGTGCTGTGGTTTGAACGTGAAAGGTCTTCCACAGGTACACATCTGAACATGCGCTTCTCAGCCGGTGGTGCCGTTGGTGAAGGTTGTAGAACGTTTAGGAGGTGGAGCCTTGCTGGAGGAAGTGGATCTCCAGGAGCAGGCTTGGAGGGGTTTATAGCCCAACCCCACTTCCTGTTCACTTTCTGCTTTGTGATCGCGGATGCAATGTTGTCTTGATCACAGATGTGGTGTTGATGTGAGCAGCTAGCCTCCTGCTGCTGCTGATATCAGGCCTTCTCTGCCTGCTGTCCTGAGGTCCTTTTCCATGGGTATGGTTGCACAGAGCCCGGCATGTTCTCTTTTCTTATTCTCTTGCTCCCTAAGTGACCACCTGACATATACATCTTCTTTCTTGAAGAACTGTATCTCTCTGGAACTGTCAGCCCCGAGAACCACCCCCTTTTCCCTTAGGTGTCGGGGTATTTTGTTCTAGCAACAGGAAAGTAACTAACACTAGTGTCTGCTTTAGCAACTGCACCTCTCAACACTGACCCCGGGGGTTCTGCTCCCAGCGTACAAACTCAGAGGGAGCAGACCGCAGATGGCACTGTTCACTTCCGTGTGAAGACACGGCTGTGTTTATTAAGCAGCCCTAACTTCTTTCTTAAACTCACTACTGCTTTTCATTACTTTAAACCCGTTTCAGACTTCCAGGTTGACGGTCACGTCTTGTGACGAGGGTGTCTGGAGCTTGCCCCGGCCTCCGACTCTCAGTTCCGTGTCGACTCCCTGGACCCACCTGTATTCTTCTGTACCCACTTATTCTCTCCCGATGGGTGTCACTCTGTGCCCACATATCCTCTCCTGAGTGGTGTCGCTTTCTACCCACACATACCCCACCTGGTTGGCATGAACTCTTGTAGGAATTCTTTGCTCATTTGGCCTACCTGCTGGCATTTGCCCTTCTTTCCCAGCGATGTGCACGCTCTTCCAGCCCCCGTGTTTCTTAGACTTCCTGGTGTATAGGAACCATTCAAGGAGCTGCTTACTGTGTGGATCTGGATTCAGGTTGATCTGGTGTGAGCTAGAGATTCTGCATGTCTGACAGGTTTCTAGGAGGATGTTGTGTTGCTTTGGGACCACACTTACAGATGGGTTCTGTAGCCCTTATCCATCTACCTTAACTGGTTAATCACATGTGTGAAGGTATCCCACCCCCCACCCCCCCCACACACACACACACCGCCAGGGGTCAACGCTAGGGCTTGTTTCATGCACAGCACTCAGCTCAATGTATGTGCCAAAAAGCTGATGAAAGCAGATGGCGTTACATTACCTCTGGATTAAAATGAAGGATAATCGCCGCAATTTGGCTTTGCTGGCCCCCTTCTGTTGCTTTTTTGATGGTGCAGAGGGCAGCCTGGTGCCCTCTGCTAACAAGACTCCCATAACCACTGATCTTCGACCATCAAGAGCTCATTTAAAGTATTTTGACTCATGCAACCAAGCTCTCCTCCAGGCAAAAGCAACTATGTAAGTAGATAACATCATCTGGGGGAATTCAGGCCACTGCATTTATGAAGAGCAGACATCTTTGTAATGTTTTTGACATCAAGCATATTTTCTCCTGGAAACTGATTTTACTAAGAACATGTGTGACAGAATGGGAAATTCTTGTTTCAAGGTGGCCTTCCTTGCTGTTAGAAGTAACCGGTGGGATGTGGGGAGAAAAGTTCAAGTAATAAAATAAATAAATAGTTGTACAAGCCCCAGCAGAGCACCCTTTCCACGAGACAGAGGTTCCTAAGTGCCTTCTGGATGCTCAGTAGGAGCATTAGCTGAACAAAGAGTCTGTAGCAGGGCTTCTGAAGGTGAGAAGGCCAGATGCACTTCAGCAGAAACACCCGCACACTGAGAAGCTGTAAGATTCAACAAGGTGGCCTGTGGAGCCAGGTGGATACACGGGATATGACCAACTTGTCTTGGTTATACAGAAGCATTAGCACTTCCGGGACCTGTAATATCACTTAGGTCCAGGCAAACCAGGAAGCTTGGGCATCTTCTGCACAAGGAGGCGCACCGGAAGGAAGTTTTGAAGGAGTTCATTTTGTTTCTTTTCTCCTCTTCTTCCCTCTGCTCTTCCTCCTCTTCCATACCGAGGATTGAACCTTAGGAATGTGAGGCAGGCACTCTACCACCAAATTCCATCCCAGAACTGGTTCCTTCTTTTCTGAACCGTTCAGCATCACTGTTCCAGACTTCTGGGATACATATGCCTTCCTCCACATCACAAGGCAGGGGAACTCAGGTGCCTTTCCCTCTCATCCAGACTGAGTGTGGAATGCTGGGAACACCTAAAGTTTGTGTCTAGAAATATTTTTAGAGCTTCTGGGTACCCCTCCATCTTAATCTCTTCTTCTTCCTCTCAGTCTCCTTTTCTTTCTTCACTTCCTCCCTTCTTGGAAATTCTGGGGATCAAATTCAGTGCCTTGAATGTGCTAGGAACTCTCTATAAGTGAACTACAGCCCCACCCCCTCGCTGCATTTCTACATGGTTGTTTTATTAACAACACTGTTGCATCCTTGCATGCAATTTTATTTCCCAGGATATTATCTGATGTCATCATATTTTCTAATAATTATAACTCCCCAAAGAGAGAATCTGTTGGGGAAGGTGTTGATAACTCAAAATTGCACTTGAAAATGATAGACTCCACAGTGAAGAGAGAGAGCTGGTACCTCAAGTTCAGGAGTCCCCACTCTAGATTAGCCAAGTCCTTTCATCGCCTAAGTTTCAATGCTCTGCTTTGAATCCACACACTGGTGATGTTCCCATCCTTAGGCTTCCTATATGTGAAATTGAAGTTCTGAATTAACTTAAACGTTACTATAACAACATACCTTATTTCTGGTGGAATTAAAATGAATTGGTTTCATTGCTTTGATTTCCATCTCTGGAGGCTTCAGGGCCTTTGGACAAACTGGGAAGATTTCCTGGGGGAAATAAAGAGATTTAGCCAAGAGGTCATGGCAAGGTAGAGAAAGAAGCATCTAAGCATCTTGCTGTGCTAGTGTAGAGGCTGGGAAGGTGGGCTGTGTCACATTGTGTGCCCATAGGTATTCAGAAGGAGAGGAAGGGCCAAGCCATTGCTGAATGTGGCCACAAGGATCTTTTTTTCTCTTTGGTGGGGATCATAATCACACAGGCTAGAAACTGGGGTTCTTTATCCACAAGTTGTGCACATGACTGTAGGAATATTTCACAAGAATATTTAATAATAGGTGAACTCTAGATGGATATGTATTTGTTTGCTATGAACAAATTTGTATGCTTTAGCACCCAGAAAGTGAGGAGTATCCAGATAAAAGTAAGGATGATTCAGCTGATTTTTCTCCATACATCTAAGTTGTCACTGGCTTGAAGGATTTATTAACTAAATTTTTGTGCTGGCAAGATGCATTAACTGGTAAGGGTGACTGAAAACCTCAGTTAAATCCCTGATCCCACACGGTAGAAAGAGAAAAATGATGTTCATAAGGTATCCTCTGACCTCTACACATTTACATGCATGCACACATACACAGGTGTACACACGCACACACACACACACACACACACACACACACGTGTTTACACAGACACACAAAATAAAAATGTAATTGAATAAATTTTATTACTCCTTTATTTAACTTTAACAAAGTAATTGTAGATAAGGAATTTTAAATGGAAATTTGACAGTCAGCTATGGAGTTCTTATTATTTTAAGTCAGAACTGTCACATGTGTTAGCTAATAAAATATTTTTAGAGTGTGCATTATTTGGGTGATTTACAGGAAACAGATGGCATATTCAAATTATGATCATTTGAGTAGTGCTCACTACAAAGTCTCTTAAGATAGTATGAAGAGAACATAGCAAAATTGCAAGGAATAAAATTATACTCTGGGCTGGTAATATAGGAAAGGGTATCATGAGATGCCTAGACATAAAGGAATCAGTGCAAAGAAAACCTAGTAGAACCCAGAGAGTCAGTGCACTTGGTGACCATGGAAGTGCCATCACCCAGGAACAAAGGGTATGGCTAGCTTGCATGACCTCATGAAGAAGAAGTTGGAGGAACACAGCCCCAACCCACTTGCCTTCACTCTAATGCCAGATGGTACCCAACAGGGATGCTAACACCAGCCCAGGTGTGTCTCTCAGGGCAGAGGTGCTAGTGGGGGAGTGTGGAGAGGAAATGACAGAGAGCAGAATGAAAGGGCTCTGTACACAGCTTCCAGCCAGCCCAACTTTTCACCATTACTTCTTCACTTGAGGACAAGGAAACAGGCGGAGACAGGCCCTCTCCTGACATCACACGATAGGTATCCAAACATTTCATAAAATAGGATGTCTTTAGTTTTATGATTTCATATTCCCAATGCAGCAAGGTCCTCCTGATCCTTAAAGATAGTTCTGAATTACCTATCTAATCATGTAAATTGTTTATTAAATTATGTCTATTTCCAAAAGGAAAGTGGGCATTTTTTTTTTCCTGCATGGTCAAGGTATTCCCTAAATCACCCAGGCCGGGATGTTTCCATAGTCCCGAGAAAGTTGGTTAGTCTTTTTGTAAAAGTGAGAAGGCATTTGTTTCCTTCTGAAGCTGGTATGCATGATTTGCATATCTCATTATCTGCTTATTAACTAGAGTGCCTCGTGACAGTGGCAGACTGTGAAATATGCTCACATGGGCAGTTAAGCAACAAGCACTTGGGGGGTTGATCCTGCAATTACATCCCTGTAATGAAGAGGCAAAAAGCAAGGAAGCAACAATGGGATTCTCAGATATGAAATGGAACCAGGATTTGATGTAATTCAACATGACTTGCTCATGGCACAGGCAGAATATCAAATGATCCGTGAGAAATTCAATCCTTGGTATAATCTTTCTATTATCTCCATTGTTTGCCTATCCGCCTGCATGCATGCCCTGTGGAACAGTATGTAAATTAGGTTTGTATTCATAAGTTGTTATCTTAGTTCATCTTAATTCGGTTTAATTGTGGCTTCTATATTTTAGCTTAAGTTACTGCAGGTATATATATGTCC